TAATATGGGAAATGGCAAGTTTCATGCTGTAGCAAAGATATTTTGTGCAGTGAAGGGCCATTTCATAATTTTCTTGTATGCAAGGAAGCTCAACTAGAATTTGATTTAAGTTTTATTAGACTTATTATATCAGATTTTCAGTTCAAGAAGGCATATCTTTCTTTAAAATATTTAAATTTCACGTGCGTGAAAGCTCTTTCTCTTCGATACTAATGTCTAAAATGTATAACCAATAAGTTTGAAATGAAGTGCTACTGGTTAATGAGGGATACTCCGTGGGGATCCAAACAGATTTTGCCATTCGACCTTTAATAGTGACCTAAAAATCAAATTGTATCGTGCAAGTTAATATCGGATCATTAGACCCAACTACATACATCAACTGAACGCATGACATTAAGAGGGAATTCATATTTGTTCGAGAGTAATAATTTGGAATGTTAGATGGGAGTCGTGTTTGACGGTCTGATTTGTAAAAGAGTTATGAATAAATACTACACCTTTGTAGCGATTTCACTAAAAAAAAATGTGTTAACAAGAGTTGTTTAACTTATAAAGAGATAACAGACCCTTGACATATATGCTATACAGCTGTTAAGCAATTTGTTCACAACAACCTTCAATATCTCCAATTAGCATTTTTATAACGCTGAATATAGAGAAAAAAAATAATAATAATGCAATTAATGTTTAGAATACTTATTGCTAACTTACATTTCTCTTCGACAATGACATTTAAACCTATTGCTATATTAGAAATTAAGTATAGATATACATTTCTCCTTAAAATTGCACCAAGATGCGTAGATAAGATAAGGTACTTTGGCACAAGTTGTATCTAGAAGGGCATGCAATGACGGAGCACATAAAGAATCTTTAGACACAACAACATTAGAAGACAGTGGATCTGACCTGCTTGTAATCTTGCTCGATTTCTTCATCATCATTTTCAGTCGATAATTTAATTAAATCCTACTAACTAAGGGGCTGTTTGGGCCCGATTTTTTCACCCAAAAATTTGATTTTTTGACCGTTATTTTGCTATTCCAACCGTCATATTTGACTTCTTCTCTCACAGGTGGAACACACTTTTCTCCTAACGGTCAAAAAATCAATTCTTAAAATCACTCCCAAACAGGCTCTAAAGTTAGAAGAGAAATATCGTCCTGTCAAATTATATTATCTACGACATTGCAGTAACTTAAAATAGAACTGCATCAATAATTCTAAAATTAGGATTTTTCCCTACAGGGAAAACTTACAGAATTCATACAAGATTTTGAAATAGAAAAATTTTGTCCGTCTATGTTTAATGTTTTTTCACATCTTTGAATTTGAATGATGTTTTGACATCTGACTCTGTGCAAAAATTATGTACTTGTAGTATAACTCAATTAGGATTTTTAGACCTTATATTAAGGAAAGATTGTATTGAATGATGCCATCAATATTACATTTCACCTAAAAACAACCCCTTCCCCTACCCTTCCCTTCCCACACAAAATCAGGCATACATAGATTTTGCAGAGGGATGCATGCATAATTTTTTGTTCTTCAAAAATAAAAATAAAATTGACTACAAATAAAGGCAAAGGTCTAAGCTGACAAATTAGGCATAACCTTTCATTTTTTGAACCTCAATCACCCCCGATTCCCCATAAAGGGAGAAAACTTTAAAAGGAAAAATAAAGTATTTCGAAATAGTTATTTAAGAAAGCTCATGGAGTGAATGTGATGATTCTGAATGGTCACAGTACAAAGTTTAAGGGGTTTAGCGTTTCAGTTACTTACAAAATAACTTCCATTTTCTATTTTGATTTGGAACTTTTGGATAACGCCTGACTAATTTGATTTCTTTACATATTTACGTGAAATAATGTAATTAATAGTAGATTATATATGTTCCGATTTTCTTCTTAAATTTGGTGAGTAGGCTCAAGGCTGGGTTTGTCAAGTTATATTTTCGACTAAATCTTCTTCAGCACTAAATAAATATTTCATCAGAAAATCGTAAAGTTTAAAAATTATGCATAGATGAAAAAGTAAACCTTTTGATTGACAAAAATACGTCGCATTTCATATTTAACAAATTCTTATTTACGAATAATCTTGTGAATCTTAAAGTAATTTAAGTAATGAAAAATCGATGGTATAATATGAATTCGACTTGTGTATCATATTGTGAAAAAATTGCTTTGTTTCCTCCAATTTCGCTTTAAAAAGAATAATTGACGGATTATCTAATTGAATGGATAGGATTCATCTAAGTTTTGTGGTTAAAGTACGTAGATGGATCACTTTGACCATTGGTAGACTCTTTTGTATAATCTGAATTTGTTGATTGTGTTAGAAAATACTTAGGATTGACTTTTTAGGAGAATAGTTTAGTTTCCAACGTTAATCAGTTCAGAAGCCACGTAATTTGTACATATATATTTCGTAGTATTTCGGAATCTGCATAATGAAAACTAATCAAAGGATCTTAGGAAGAGGAATTAAGAGATGATTAGTAGGTAAAGAAATTATTTATTATGAAGTAGAATTCACACAGGTACAAGTATTTGTAGTGAACGGTTCGAAATTATTGTGTAATATATTAGTACAAAGTAGTGCCATATATATACTGATTGTGCAAAGCCCACTCTTGATGTTTTAAATCCCTGTCACAAGCGAATCAGGGAGGTCCACCAGGAAACAAACCACCACCTGGGTCAAATCCGCCAGGAGGAAACAAGCCACCATGCGGGCCAAATCCGCCAGGAGGGAACAAACCACCACCCGGGCGGCCAGGACCGCCACCTGGGCCAAATCCACCAGGAGGGAATAAACCACCATTGTGGCCAAAACCATGACCAAACCAACCTCCCTTCCCGAACAGAAATTTCTCTTCATCATCCAAATTTCTGGCAAGAACAGTACCCGCTAAAACAACATAAAGACAGAGAAAAAACAACCCACAAACTCTCATATTTGCAACCTTAGTTTTATTACGGCTGGCTTAGGAATATATGTTGAGATGCATTAAGAATATCATGCAAGTGGGCTTATATACTAGTTTTGTTGCCCAACAACTACCTTTCAACACACTGACATTTATCTTTGTTTGTTGTAGCGAAAAATTATAATTAAATAAATTTTGATAAAAATTGATGAAATAAATTTTTGAAAAGTTGATAAAAATTCTGGGTCATAAGAAATATTTTGTTAAAATTAATTGTTGACATTAAAGTTGAATTTTTTTTTTTTTTTTTGGTGAGACAAAGAAGAACTCCTAATGCATTAGGCAGAAATTCTTTCACCTGTCTACCAAAAAAAACTGATGATTAATAGACCATTAGTTGATGAAGGATGATCAGACAGTCAAATTAATCTAATTAAATACGCTGAATTATGTTTCAAATTAATAATTCGTTGAACACTTATCTAAGAGATTGAGCCCACATAGATTGACGTATTCATTCATTTAAATTTAACTTATGTCTTCGATGTTCATTAAAACCTCTCTATAGTCATACTGTTGGGACCGAACTAATTTCATTACTATGAGGAGGTTAACTTCATAGAGGTGTAATCACAAAAAATCTTATTTTGACTTAATTATCCTAATTGGAAGTGCCTATATATACTATATTAATATAATTAATAAATGAAGAATGTTAAAATCAAGGTATAAACACTAAAAAAAGAGATGACATAATATTAAAAAAACTATTATATGTATTCATTTAGTGTCAAAAATATGCAAAGCATTAATCTTAAAAGTCTAAAAGCCTATATTCTCTTCGATGTATTTATTATTATTATTATTATTTTTTTCAATTTGTGAATACATTTTATATAATACAACCTATGCAATGCTCAACCAATTGAAGTGATACATTTCTTTCTTTCTCTAGCAAATTCACCATGCTATCAAAAATTAATGTACAAACTCAACCAATCGAAAATATTTGTATGGAGTTGTGCAAAATGAAAAACTCAAACCCTATCTGAAAGCTAAAAGATCTTGTGAACCAGTTAGAATATATTTAAGGTCTTAAGGTACCACAAGTTGCAATATCTAAGACAATCAAATTTTCAACCGACCTCCTTAAGAAGTATTGTAGAACGCAAATGCAAAACGTTGAAAGACACTAATGTACCAGCAATAGAGTGTACCCTCTATAAATGATTTTTATGCCATCAAGAGCATGTTAATATGAGTGGTAATGCTAAAACAGAAAGGAATTTTATTTTAAGGCAACTCTATCTCGAAGTTATCTCATTTCAATTTTCAAATGGATAATTGGAAAAGTTCAAGCAACAAAATGCAATTCATTCTTTCTATTACTTTGAGGAGAATGGTTCAGATGATATGGAGAAAATTGATACTATTTTGCCACCAATAGAAGATGAATTAAACAAATGGGCTTGGAAAGACACTTACAATATGGATGAAACTAGTTTATTTTATCGAATGCAAGCCGATACTTCTCTTGCAACAAAGTAATTGGTGGGCCAAAAGCAAAATAAAGAGAAGGTTACAATTGTTATTTGTTGCAACGATGATGAGATTGTTAGAATTTGATAGAATATAATTTATGAATGAAGAATTCCTTCTCAGAATTGAATGAATATGTTACACAACTCTTTTTATAATGAAAGAAAATGTGTATTAATCTAATGTACGAAAGGAAATCATTCTGTAATAAAACAATGCAATTGACAAGGAAAGAAATCTTCCTAAATATGTAATTATTCAATATGCCCCCTCAATTGGAGCATGGAGATCCATAATGCCCAACTTTTGAGTGAAATGATGAAAAAGATCATTGCCGAGAGCTTTGGTGAAAATATCATCTAATTGGACCTTGGCGAACACATGTGCAAAAAGAATGAGTCTAGAGAGAAATTTCTCACTGATAGAATATAATTTATGAATGAAGAATTCCTTCTCAGAATTGAATGAATATGTTACACAACTCTTTTTATAATGAAAGAAAACGTGTATTAATCTAATGTAGGAAAGGAAATCATTCTGTAATAAAACAATGCAATTGACAAGGAAAGAAATCTTCCTAAATATGTAATTATTCAATATGCCCCCTCAAGTTGGAGCATGGAGATCCATGATGCCCAACTTTTGAGTGAAATGATGAAAAAGATCATTGCCGAGAGCTTTGGTGAAAATCTCATCTAATTGGACCTTGGCGGACACATGTGCAAAAAGAATGAGTCTAGAGAGAAATTTCTCATGCATGGAATGGCAATCAATTTCAATGTGTTTGGGGCGTTCATGAAACACAGGATTGCAAGTGATGTGTAGAGTAGCCTCATTGTCATAAAAGAGCAAGATACGCTGTGGATGTGGAACTGCGAGGTCATGTAAGAGAGACTTGAGCCAAACAAGTTCACATGTGGTTATAGCCATTGCATGGTACTCAGCTTCACCAGAGGAGTGAGAAACAACTGATTGCTTCTTTGCACGCCAAGAGATGGGACTAGTGCCAAGTGTGATGAAAAACTAGTAGTAGAGCGATGAGTGGTAGGACAACTCGCCCAATCAGAATTTGAGTATGTAGTAAGTTGAAGATCACATTGTGCAGAATAAAAAAAGACGATTTCAATGTGTTTGGGGCGTTCATGAAACACAGGATTGCAAGTGATGTGTAGAGTAGCCTCATTGTCATAAAAGAGCAAGATAAGCTACGGATGTGGAGCTGCGAGGTCATGTAAGAGAGACTTGAGCCAAACAAGTTCACATGTGGTTATAGCCATTGCATGGTACTCAACTTCAGCAAAGGAGTGAGAAACAACTGATTGCTTCTTTGCACGCCAAGAGATGGGACTAGTGCCAAGTGTGATGAAAAACTAGTAGTAGAGCAATGAGTGGTAGGACAACTCGCCCAATTAGAATCTGAGTATGTAGTAAGTCAAAGATCACATTGTGCAGAATAAAAAAGACCATGTTATGGAGTGCGCTTTAGGTACCATAGAACATAGAGAGCAGCTCGATAATGAGGGTCCCGAGGACGTTGCATGAATTGACTCAACATGTTAACGAAGAAGGAGATGGACGAGTGATAGTGAGGTATAGAAGGCGGACCACCAACCGATGATATATTCCGGGATCAAAAAGTAAGTTACCATCATCAGGGTTGAGTTTCAAATTTTGGTTTATGGAAAAAGAAGTTGGCCGTGATCCCAGATTACCATAGTCAGTAAGAATGTCCAATGCATATTTTCTCCAATTAATAAAAATTCTAGATGGAGATCAAGCAACTTCAATACCAAGAAAATATTTCATGGTACTCAAATCCTTTATTTTAAAACGATCATCAAGAAATTTTTTGAGAACAGTGATGGCAGAAAGATCATTTTCTACAACCAAAATATCGTCAACATAAACTAAAACCACAAAAGAGATGAGCCAATAGTCCGAGTGAAAAGTGAGTAATCAGCTACAGACTGAGTAAAACCATCAGATATCAATACAGAGGAAAGCTTCGAGTACCAATTTCGAGATGCCTGCTTAAGACAATAGAGAGACTTAAGAAACGACAGACACAAGTCTCCCCTTATTGACCATACCCAAGGGAAGCGTCATATAGACCTGCTCTTCCAAATTACTATGAAGGAATGCATTATTAATGTCAAGTTGATGAAGATGCCAATTACAAGCTGTGCAATAGCTAAGACACAACAAACAGTAACAAGTTTGGCCACGAGTGCAAAAGTGTCATGGTAATCGAGACCTCGACCATGAATTTGACCTCTTCCTTGAGATCATCCTTTCTCTTTCTGTCGACCTCCCAAGGAGACATTCGTTTGGAGAACTTGAGCCACCGGTTCTCCTTTCTTCTTCAATCTTTCTTCATATGCTTGCAAGGACCCTATGAGTTGTTCAAGGGTCATGGTATCCAAGTTATTAGACTCTTCAATGACAATACTAACAAACTCAAGTTTTGAGTCAAGCGATCTAAGAATTTTCTCGATGACACGGCTTTCTTCAATATTCTCCCTGTACTGCTTCATATAATTGACAATGGAGGACACTCTAGTGAAATAGTCAAAGGCAGATTCAGACTCTTTCATGTGTAGAGATTCAAACTCTCCACAAAGGATTTGAAGACGCACCTTCTTCACCTTTTCAATTCCCTTGAAATTGTTCTCGAAAATCTCCCAAGCTTCCTTAACTTTCGTTGAGGACACAACTTTCTCGAACATGGCTTCATCTAAGCCCATGTGAAAATAGAGAGAGCGTGTTGATCTAACTTGCGGTACCTTTGCAGGCATTTCTTTGAGCTTCACTTAAAGCTCCTTCATTCTTCGGTTCATCATAGCCTTTCTCTACAACTTCTCATGCCTCTTGTGAGCTAAGCAACGCCTTCATGCGTATGCTCCAATATCCATAATTTTCCTTTGTTAGTTTGGGTACAACAAAAGGAAATGAATTATTCATCTTTGAAATGGCTCTGATACCACTTTGTTGGAAATAAAATATTATGGGATGAAAGGCTAGAGAGAAAAATTCAGAGAATTTTCAAAAATATTTGTATTTTATGGCTTGGCTCTATAAAATGTCTCAAACACAAGACCTTTTATAAGTACAAAGGATCCTAAATACATTGTATGAACTTAATAGACTAATTAATGACTTTTCCTACATACTATGAATAATAGGATGCAAAGAATCATTTGGATACATGATTTAAATAAATGCATGAATATTAAATAAACTAATTCATGTATCAAATTTAATTTTTTTCATCATTCATGAATTAAATTTAATTTCCAACAAATTTTGCCATTCGACCTTTAATAGTGACCTAAAAATCAAATTG